GGACGGTCGTGGACGTGGTCGCCACGGTTAGTCCCTCTCATCACACCCCCAACTTAGACCCTACCAGCTCCCCCAATACGCAAGTCACTACTCGCCTTAAATATAGAAATACTTTATATTCGATCAGAACCGGTGCAGAGTCTACCAGGTTTCATAGAAGACGCAATCCCATCGATGTCCGCGTCTAGCCTTCAGGCCATCTGGTCGAGTGTCGACAGAATGTTGGGCCGTATAGATTGGGCGCATGGAATATTCTTCCTCCACCTCATTATGAGTGTGCTTATACTTCTTGTAATGGTAATACCATGGTGGATCTCGACTCCAGTCCTCGGCAGCCTTTTGGTATGGTTCCTCGGCGACATGCTCCCCTTTGGAATCGGGATCAAGGTGTGGCTATGGAGACTCCGTGTCAGCGACTACTGGTCAAAGCAGAAAGATAACCGAGTTATGGCAGGCATTCTATTTAGGCGCATGCGATACGATTCTCGATTGTCTCGGTTACTCCGTCCCCGAAAAAGGGTCCCTCCTCTTCCACTAGAGATATTGGAACAGATCCTCGAACACGTCATCTACGTTCCATCCCTATTCGATACAAGATGGGACGTGCAGACTTTTCATCAATTCCTCAACGACCAGAGACACAAATACTACTGGGCTTCCTACGATATGCAAAGAAGAAAGTTGCGCCTTGTTTGCAAGATGTGGGCCAAACTATTGGATCGACCATACCCACGTTGGATAGGGGACCGAGTTCCTCACAATTTTGAACGAGGAATCGATCAAATAAGGCGATTAGACCTCGGTGTTTCGAATAGATCTCAGCTCCATCTTCTGAATAGCCCAGGAGGAGAACCAAATAGACAGCGGCTTCGCTCAATACTCTCAAACCCAACACGACTTTCCTCCGTAACGACTGTCTGTTTCAGTTTGTCATGGTCAGGCGGTAATACGCGAGAGGTCGGATCGTTTCTCTCGAGTTTACGCTATTTACCTCGCCTTCAATGCCTCAGCTGGATCGACCACGGATACGAGCCCTCAAACCAACTTCTACAGGAACTGAAGCATCCCAAATTTGCATCCCTCACCAGCCTCTATCTAAAGGTGCCATCACTATACGGCCCTCTCCGACTAGAAAGACTAGAAGTCCTCTACTTGGACGTTCGTGAACACAGTATTGGCCAGTGGTCATTCCCTTCACTTCGTCATTTAGCTATAAAGAACGGGTGCAGTGGATTTTTCCGTTCTCTCCCAAGCCATGCAAACTTGCTTGGAGAGAACACTTCCCCTTTTGCTGGTCCACATTCTCACATTCAATCCCTCTTTCTTCTTGAAGAGAGGGTTGAGTTTACCTTAGATGACTTATTCTGGCAAACCTATCCCAACCTCAGAACCCTGGGAGTAACTCGCGAGGGACTTGTCTTGACGTCAAATGTTCCCTCGGATCATCCCTTATATCGACTCTCAGTTGCCGAGTCACTTTTTGGTGACAAGTATGACATGCTTCCAGTGGCCAAGATCCCCAACCTCCGTCAACTTCACTCGCCTTCCCATCACCACAAGATTCTTGAATCGGATGAAGTTCTATTTCCCATATTTCAGGAGCACCAAAGACGCGGTATCCAGTGGGTAGAAGATAACAGAGTTTTGGAGTTCCAGCGAAAAGTAATTCTAGAGCGCAAAAGCTCATCAATAGAACTAGCGTTTTGGTTCTTCTGTTCTCTATACTCGTACATCGATCTATTCTCCCATTACTTCAAGCATAGGTGGTGGGAACCCTTCTCCCCTTTTCATGAGGGCCATGTCCTGGGTATAATCATATTATTTGGATTATATCTAACTGGAATTTGGGTGCATGATAGGCACTTGTCACCCAAATATAAATGGGTGACTGAATATACATTATACTAGGATATGCACGCTTTGAATAGGTGGTAATTGGATGGCGATAGTGGAAAGTCAAAGAGAGAAATAGGATAAGATGGAAGTAACTAATTTAAATTGTAATTTATTGACCATAGATTTGTCTCTTTCCCTCTCGAAGTAGAAAATCAAGCGTCTATTGCATCCCATTTCGTTCTTGCTTAAACCTTCGAGTCAAATACAGGGCCTATGGCACCCCAAAAGGAGGAGGAAGTTGTTTATTTCTTTGATATATCCTATATCGAGCTCGTTCTGATTGTGGCCGCCTGATGGGCTGGTCCAACAGACAGAGCACACAGCAATGTCCCACTTTGTCCTCGACCTTCTAGTGCGTTGCTTTCGACCATCAACGAGTTTTTCACTAACTACCTCCGAAACGGATTCCAACGTCACCTTTATGTCAGTGACAACACGCCAAGGATCTCCACCATGCGAAGCTAGACCTACCTGCATAATGTGATTCAACAAAGGTGGTCGCTCTTTGTATAACGACCTGGGCCAACAACTCAGCTTCCTTTCCTTCTGAGGCTGGTCGTCCACTTTGCCCTCGACCTTAACTCCTGTTCCGTTGCATCCTATCATTACCGGCAACAGTTCCTCCCCTGGTTAGTGGTTTTTACTTATCTGAAATGGATCGTGTGATGACCCTGACATGTTAGATGGTTAGCCAGTATTCCTTGCATTCTCTTTCCCGCCAGCCGTATAGTCACTTGGTGACTAGTAAAGAGAAATGGTCCAAGACGTGTATTAGAAGCAGGAAACGTGGCAAGATTCGTTTGCATAGCCAGATCTTTGGAGGGCGGTCGTGGTCGCCACGTCTGGTCATCCCAATCGTAGCTTGGAACCTTCCTACTCGCCAACACGCACACTACTGTCCACTTTTAACAGAAGGACACCCCTACACCACTCTGGTCGAGCAATACTATTGCGGGTTCTTTAATTTATACTATTCACAGTGCTTTCAATGTCCGCGTCTAAACTTCGATCCATCTGGTTGCGTATCGACAAGATGGTGGGCCGTGTAGATTGGGCACGTGGAATACTCTCCCTCCACCTCATTATGAGTGTGTTCATACTGCTCGTAATGATAATCCCCTGGTGGATCTCGGTTCCACCGTTCGGCTGTCTTTTCCTATTGGTTCTCGGCGACATACTGCGGTTTAGAATCGCAACCAAGATATTTTCTTGGGGGCTCCGCGTGGAAAACGTCTGGTCGCAGCAGAAAGATAACCGAGTTATGGCAGGCGTCCTATTCAGGCGGATGCGATACGATTCCCGCTTGGCTCGATTATTCCATTCGCGAAAAAGTGTTCCTTATCTTCCACCAGAGATATGGGAACAGGTCCTCGACTACGTCATCCACGTCCCATTCGTGTTTGATGCCCGATGCGACGTAGAGACATCCTATCAGTTCATCGATGCTCATAAGCATGGTTCCGGTCTGCGTCTCTATAAAGACTCAGAACGTCAACGAAGAAAGTTGCGACTCGTTTGCAAGATGTGGGCCGAGCTAATGGATCGACCATATCCACGTTGGGTAGGCCCCCACATTCCTCTCGATTTTGAACGAGGAATCGACAAAATAAAGCGACTAGAGCTCGGCATCTCAAGTAAATTTCTAGCCAAGAAGATGGGTGAATCATGGTCCGAAGACCAACATCGACAGCGCCTTCGCTCGGTTCTCTCAGACCCAAAGAAACTCTCCTCTGTAACAGCTGTTTGCCTGAGTATATCATGGCCGGATCCAAATCCCGAAGCTATATCATTTATCCCTCATTTACGCGATTTACCTCGCCTTCAATCCTTGACCTACCTGGAATTTGGCCGTCAGCAGTCAAAGCAATTCCTGCAAGAACTTAACCGTTCCTGCTTTGTATCCCTCATCAGTCTCTACATACAGATGCCCACGCTATATGGCCCTCTGCGATTAGAGGGATTAGAAGTGCTCTACCTGGACGTTCGTGAACACAGCATTGGACAGTGGTCATTCCCCTCACTCCGTCATTTAACTATTAAGAAAGGCTGCAAAGGATTCGCTCGTTCTCTCCCAAGCCTTGAGCGCTTGCTCGGAGAGGATACCTCCCCTTTAGCTGGTCCACATTCTCATCTTCAATCTCTCATTCTTCTTGAAAAAGATGTTGAAATCACCCTAGATGACTTATTCTG